AATTGTTTAGTCTAATACTGAAAAACTCATCAAATGTGAGGGTATCTAGGAGCATGGAGATGAATAATTAGTTCGTCGGAAAGGCCAGAAACAAAATATAATCCGAACTGCTAACTGGAGAATTTAATTATACAAAAACAAAAGTCTACAGTTCATATAATTGGATTAAACCAGGTGGCCCCTAGGGACAGAGTGATCCACTAGCGAGAGGAGCGACAAATAGCTGGGAAATTTCGGCAAATGACGATAACGAGATACAAGTTCATCCATTTCAGTCAAGCTACTCTAACCAAAAGATCTGCAGCTCAATATGAGTTGCATCCATTTGTCTTTATTGTGTCGGCCTGGTCAAATGGGATCAGTTTCAGGCGGGTGGGTGAAGCACTTCATAATTTCGGACCCGATGGAAAATCCGTGCATAATCGACTACAACAGTGTCTTCTTCTCAAAACGATCAAACTCTCGGACACATCGTTTGCCTATCCATCGGGTCAGCAGCATCCGAACACCGTTTGCACTACGCTTGAGGCAGTAGTTTCTCCAGTCCTTCCGAGCCCTGTCGTCTAGTCGACTAAGCTCGCTCAACTACGGTCTAACCAGTTAAGTGCAGGCTGCCTGGCGAACTTTCGTGGGATAAAATACAGTAAGTATATCGAGTATCCCGAAATTATCAGTAACAATCAGCAACAAAATATGACACCCTATCCTCATACAGAATAAAACAGACTATGCTATAGTTTCGTTTTATTGCCTCTGAGTAAACTGCAACTTTAGCATGTACCTTAAGAAGAAAGCATACCTTTATAGCATTGTTACACACCATTCCGTTCTTAAAACAAGAAGCATAATCTTCAGCTCAAATAACTGAATTTGCATAGAATTCGCTAATTTTATGCTCTATAAGTAGACGGAAATGTGAGCCAGCATAAAATATCCAATGCCGCCAACTCATACACAGATACACAATCATATCAAACGCCTTATCCATTTTCATGTCTAGTAATTACTTCATTTTTCACTCGTATCCATATCTACAATCATAAAGAAAATCTGCCCCCATCCACACCTATGCCCATATGCTTAGTCATATAACTATCCACAATCTGCTGCCCCTATTAATATTTTTCCTATTTTAAGTG